TAATAGTTAATATTATGGAATATTTTATTTAAGCCAAGAACTCATTTCAATACCTTATGCTATTCTATTTAATCCTTATAACCCTTCTATGAATCATTATCACCACTTATATTTAAAATTAAAGAGGTTAACAATTTTGTCTAAGATTTTACACTTGGTATGAGAAGATCTATGTCTTAAATTCAATTCTGATTGTCATCAAAGTTCATGATCTTTATCACTGCTCTTCCGGCACTACCTGATCCATAAGAAATTACTGATAAGAATAAGAACAAATCATACATTTCATTTTAGGGATTTGGGAAAAACCTTGACATTTTTCTGAGTAGGTAAGAAACTAGTCAAAGATTACTCAAAACAATTGGATCTCTTATAAACAAAGATGTATGCACCTATCTAAATCTCCAACAATAGACCAATTTCTTATTTATATTTTCCTTAGTATAAATATTTTTACATTAATTCCATAAGCATTTTTTTATACCCACAACACTGCTGGCCCTGTTCCATGTTTACTGTTAGATAAAACCAAATAAAATAAAATCTGCCCTTTGCACTGAGGGTATGTAAGTTCTTGTGGTTATTATAATAAGGCCTCTGAGTCTCTGATAGTTTTGCTGTAAATCAGACTAACAGTTAGCTATCTGAAAACAATATGTAATGATACTAACCCCAAGTGTAGGATTTCTAATCATTTGCAGTAAGTGAAGTGCTTGATTCCAGAGCTTGGGCAAGAAAGATACATGATGAGTCTGACATGTTTTTATCATGAAGGAAAATATGAAAATGCTAAAAAAAAAATGATGGGATGTATCACAACGATACAACAGTCAGAATGAAGTCACCTCCACTGACCAAATAAAGAACAATTTGAGCATCATAACAATTAGAACAGTAATGAACTATAATAATTTTTAAAAACTGGAAATCCATAAGTCTATGTCATAATATGTAGATAAATAAATAACAGGATAAAATGAGGTTCTTGTTGACAGCAGAATGCCAAGTGCTAATTGGTGAAAGTAAGAGGAATACTTCAGCTTGAAAAAATGCTCTTTGATGATTATTAGAGTAAAGATTGGTTCACAAAACAGTCACCTGTAATGCTAAATCTAAGGGTAAGGTGATCAAGTAGCAGATATTTCTATGTTAAGATCTTAAAATCCTCCCCTGCTGCTTATTGGTAGCATGGGGAAAGAAAAAAAAATAGCTGCACAGTACAGAAATAAGACAACATCTTGTTGGGTAATAGAAATTAATATAAAAAGTAAGGAATAGATGGATATCCTTGTGCCTCTGGATATCATTCCTTGAGAAGGTTACAAGTTCATTTATTTATTTCCAGATGGGCATAACTACAATGCAATCAAGAAGAAATGAGCCAAACCCAAAATGAGAAATATTCTGTTTTAAATAAAGGGTTACATGCATTGTGGAAAAACATGACTGTTCAGTAATGACAAAGAAAAATAAAGAATTAGCCCCCGACTAAGGAAGGTTAAAGTGATATGACAACTACATATAAAACTTGGATTCTGTACTAGAGAAAAAAAGAATTCCATGAAGGACACCATTCGATCACTGTCACAATTGGAAGATGGATAGTAGTGGAATAAAAGTATAATGGCAATGTTAGATATATGAATATCTGTGGTTATGTAATAAATGTCCTAATTCTTCAGAAATGCACACTGAAATAACTGGGGAGAAGAGAGCATGATGACTACAGGTTGCTTTCAAACAATTCAATGAAAAGATATAATACATATATTTTTCTACATAATCTACACGTAGCAAATGATGAAGCAAATGGGAAAAAATGATTATGAATGAATTTTTGATTAGTGCTTCAGAGTCCACAGATACAGAGGACCTACTGTATGCACTGAGGTAGCCCACTTTATACAGGGGACTTAAGTGTCTGCAAATTTTGGTATCTGGGGGTGGTGGCGGCCCTAGAATGAATGCTCTTTATATATCTAAGGAACAAATTAAGTTTTGAGGAAGTAAAAATTATCAGAAATAAAAATATAATACATGTATTTTTCTATATATTCTACACATGGCAAATGATGATGCAATTGGGGAAATAAAACTGAATAAAGGATATAATGTTCTTTAAATGATACTGCTATGTATTTTTAAATATAAATTTGAAATTAATTTCTCACTATAGAATAGAAAAAACTAGAAAGAAATCACTAGTATACGTAAACTCTAAGGAAACTCAGTTATCCAGACACTTCTCAGGAGAGATGAGTTTTAGGAAAATACACTGAGTTGTTTGAACTAAGAAGTGAAATAGCAACTCCAATAGCCTCAGGTGATTAATATCTGCCATGTGGTGGAACGCACAACCTGAGTTTTCTGTAGATTAGGGAAAATCTCTGTGGAGTTATCCTGTTACCACATAATTCTTGTTAATTAAAAAAAAAACAAAAAACGGAAATAGACCATGAATGAGTTGGCAAAAATTACTAAAGGTATTGGTAAAAAGATCAAAACAAATCACACAGGTACAAAAGTAGTCCTCTCTTCCACTGTTGACAGGGAAGACAGATGACCTTGTAACAGCAAGAGTTTGAACTACGTGGTTCCACTTTTATGTGGGTTGTAGTTTTATTTTTATTTTTCCCAATAGGTTATCTGTGCTAATTTTGATAAGTGCGTCAGAGTCCACAGTACAGGGGGCCCACTATATGCATTGACCTAGGCCATTTTATACAGGGTCTGGACATTTTGGTGCTGTGTGTGTGGGGGCGAAAGGGTGTGTGTGTCTTAGAATCAATACCCCTAAGTAACCAAAGAACAAGTTAAGTTTTGAGGGAATAAACATTTATAAGTGTATTTGGGGATACACAATGTCAGCACCTCTAACCTCTGCATTGTTCAAGGGTCAACTGTGTATCTATTTTTAACACTAAACTTTGCTCATATGGTGACTGATGTTTTGAGTTACATTTCTATCATGATGTAGCAAAATAAAAAAGAAGAATATACAAAATATTGATATTTCTTAGGTATAAACATTAACATATCTTAATATTATAATTTAGCATTCAAGTATAAATATGCAAATGGAAAAAGCTAATAGAATTATCGGGCATGTTACTTAAAGCAGGAACTCCACAGTGCTGCACATTTAAATATAGATAGTTAATAAATTATAATTTGAAAATATTGGAAGCATTTATAAAATATCAGACATGTCTAGCTATTCATTGGATAATAGTTAATATTTATGCTAATTTTTCTAATTTGCTCTGTATGGCAGGATCAGGAAAACAAATCTATGTACAGTTTAACTTATAAACCCAATCTGTTTCATTTCAGCTGCATGATGTTATCCATTATCATTATTCTAATAACTTCACTAACCAACATTCATGCTATTTAATTAAACTAAAATGTACCCAAGCACTTTAAAATGAAGACTATGCATAATAACAAGCGCTGCAAAGCAGGAGTGTTAAATCCTACATATTAATCTTAAATTGTATAAAGATGGAGATTATGTGCCTCGTTCTTACAAAAAATATATTACCATATCAGATTTAAATCCCTGGAAAGATGATTAAGAATCAGCCATACATTGGCAATATAAACCTATACTTTATAAAGCATGTTTAGGCCTCATATTTATTTGCAGTCTCACAATAGTCAGAGATTATTATCATTTGATTTTGAAAAGTAGGAAACTCGCTGAGAGCATTCGAGGCTAAGAGATTTGGGCTAGCAGTGGTTGCACTGATGACTAGGGAATTGGAGAATTGGAGATAGGAACGCATGTATCCCAACTGTTAGTCCTGCATTTGTCTCACACTCCATAGAGAGCCCTGTCACTAATTCACAAGCCAGTTTTTATGATCCTGTAGCCACTCTAGAGAGTGAAGTGTTGGCAGTCAAGAGTGCACTCATGCTTCAGAAACATTATGGAGGCCATAATGCATATCGTATAAGTGTATACTGCTGTTATATTGATTTTCTTCTCACATTAATAGTAATACTAAGCATATGATAGGAGTCAGTCTCATCAGACCTACTGCATAAACGAGGAAACTGAAAGACACTTAAGGATATATAATGATATTAAAAAAAGCATTAGCAGATCAAATAGATGTTCCAGCTGTCCTCTCCCTCTGCCTCTGTAAAACGTGTCTTTCTGATTTCTTTAAAAGCATTTTCATCACAATAGCCTTGTTGAAACTATTTCCACTAAAAATATAGAACAAATAAAAATCAATTTTCATTATCTGAAATCTTGAGGCATCCTGTTCATTAAAAGCACCGCCTTCACGTCCATGGTACATTTAAAGCTATATAGTTCAAATGTTAAAACTGGACACAAGTTGATGATTCTTTTAGAGTCGCCGCTGTGAAAACAGAAGTGTTTTGATGACTATCCTCAGCTTCCTAGGTTGAACTTCCCTTCTTCATGCCAGCGCCCCTTAATTCCACAGAGGTGCATGGTCTTGTATAAGTCGCTTAAACTCTGGGGTTTTAAGATCCCTTCATCACTTAAAATGTAATTCTAACTACCAGATCCTTGATTCTGAAATGCTTTTTCAAATTAGACCCAGCAACCTCATAATTTGAATAATGTGATTCCCCCTGATTACCTTAGCACTTCGTGATGGCCTATTAACATGTGCATGTGGACAGAATAAAAAGCCTTACACATGTTGACGAAAATATTTCACTTGGAATATTTCCATTTGGGCCTTTTGTCTATTGATGTGCAATTCTGCAGCATACTAAAACGAAAATAACCTTGACTAAGAATCATGAGACTCGGGTTCTATTCCAGGCTCTGACGGAAAATGTGCGTTTAACTTTTGTGAGCGACAGCATATTTAGGTATAAAGAATAAGTATAAAAATACACATCCTGCCTACCTCATGAATAAGATGTAAGAGAATAAATCGACTCAAGTTTGGAACAAGTGAGGTTAAAGGAGAACAGTGAACAGCACAAACAACACTGGCATAGTTCTGCTTTACCTGATGGGGAGATGTGCCGCCAAGAAATGGTAGGCTCTGGTTTCCCAGTGGCCAAACAAATTAGGGTGACATTGGTTCCTTCATTGATGGTCATATCACTTGAGATGTCATATATCTTCGGAGGAACTGAAATGGTAAAACATGCAGTGGTCAGAAAAAAAATATATAAAATTCTGTTGAGCTATACATGATAACTCCATGAACTCATGCACTAAAGCAGGGGTGGTGAAATGCGCTTATGGCCTATGATCATGATCAGAACCCCAAATATTGATTCTCTAGCTCCTCTAGACTCTCCTAGAGTTTTCTTTGTTAGTTGGTTAGTTTTATTTATTTTTCTAATTTTTAGATGTGTAATATTTAATAACAAAAATGTTTAACCTTACATTTTTATTATTGATAGTTTTTGTCCACGTGTATCCCAACCCGGGCTAGGGATTGAGTCTGCAACCAAGGCATGTGCCCTTGAGCAGAACTGAATCCATGGTGCTTCAGTCCACAGGCCAACACTAATCACTGAGCAAAAAACGGAGAGGGCTATTGTGGATATTTTGTATTAAGTAAACTGGAGTATTGCTAATCAATCTGTTCTATCCATGTATCCATAATCTTTTCTATCCATAATTGTAGTTTTCTTGTTGAAAAGAATAACAAAAATTGAACTTTAGAAGAAATTTTAGCTATAATAGTTGTGCCTACATCTTGATTCAAAAGCTGAGTAAGATAAAAAAAAAAAAAAAAAAAAAACATGTGCAGGAAGGACTGGGAAGTAAGATTCTGGGGTTCCAAATGCATTTTGGGCCTCAGTTATCTATCTGATAAATAGTAGGGCCGAGATTTCCAGCATTTATGGTCTAAGGAACACTATTATACGAGGGGCTGTGACACTTGTGTTCCACAAGAGTTTTCTTGTCAGGAATGGATGGAAACCACTGGTTGAAATAGTTCTTCTCTTGTTGATTACTTAGAACCTCTGTTATGCCCACCGTACCTCTCAAGAGTAAAAGGGAAAAATATTATGCTGTATTTTTTTATTGTCCCTAATGTATTAGACAATGGGAGCTTTTATCCCAGCAGCATTTGATGAAAAGTGTATAGACCATGGAATACAAGGTGGGAAAGTTGGATTGAAAAATCCTTAAATTAACTCCATGGGTTAAAATGTCCATTATTCTCTCAAATTCCAAATGATCTCATTTAAACCTCAAGCAACATGGATATGAATCCTGGATCCTCTACTGGCTAGTGAGTTATCTAGGGTGAGTTACTTAAAGTATCTCTCTCAGTGTCTTCATCTGAAACTTGGAGATAATAATACAAACCCCATGTAGCTGCTTGGAGCATTCTATAAGTCAATACATGTTAAAGAAAAGTATGTGACATTATTAGCTATTATTATTAGATGCCTCAAAAGACATACTGTATTGTATTTAATTTCAGTACTGCCCTTTTCCTATGCCTTAAACTGCTCTCAGAAATTCATCCCTTTGTTAGGGTATGACTGGCTTATGATACACATTTTGGTTTACTATATAAAAATGACAGTATACTGAGAGAAACACACCCACTGGTTGCCTCCAATGGCAATTAGATACCTTGATAATTATTTAAAAATATGTTTTTACTGAAATATTTTAATTGTTAGAGTTTCTTCATGCAAGATATATTTACTACAGTTATTTAAAAAAGTAACTAAAATCTATTTTAAGGATAATTAAATTACCTATCCTGTGAATATCATCTTTGATTTTTTTAAATGAAGTCATAACTCTGCTACAAGAAAAATCTAGGATAATGATTATGGATATAAAGCATTTGATTATATGTAACTGTTGCTATGATTGAAGAAAATGCTTATTCATAAGTGATGTACTATTGTAACTGTTTCTAAATGACATATTTTAATGAGCATTTAAAACATGTTATCATTATCTTTAGTGAGATCTTCTCAGGCAAATAAAAAAACAACATTCCAACTAGGTACTCTCTTTAGTTTAACTGAAACAGAACAAAAATATAGTCATTAAGATACCATAGAAAGAAAATAGGAAAAATGTGACTTATCTATTACTGGTGAAAAGGAGAGTTAATAAAAATAGTTACAACATTAATTAGAAATATCAATAGCTATGTGGATGTAGGTATAAGTTTGATTCAGCAAACTAAGAAAAAAATGTGTAGATATGTGTGAATATACAAACATACATAAATGCACATACACACCAATGCAAATATACTAATGTACACTATTAAGAAAATAAAAAAGTTACTTAATATTTTCTCTTTTATATAGAATATAGCACACAGAGCTCAGCCTAGGATGCTTAGTTTATTTATATATTTTAAACACGTAACTGATTCAACTTTAGACAGAAGTTGTGTGTATATTTAAGAGAAGTGATGAAGTGTCCTAAGATTATATATTCTATCCTCTCAATTACATTATTTTGTAAATTTCATCAGATTTTAAAATAGTTTAGTTTCACCTTATACATCAGGTTATATTTTAAGCAGTAAACATGAGAGGTAAATTGATATTAAGCACAATATTTGACTTCTCAAGGAAGCAACAGAGTTCCTTAGCCATAAACTTAGATTTGAAATTTAACTATGGGAACTTGTGTGGTAAGGGAAGAGTACTGAATTCCAGGTGTGGCATGTCATCTCAGTGATTGCAATCACTTCTTGGGGCCTCATAATTCAGGATATGCTATAGGGAAGGAACATATGGAAAGAGGAGTTTAGTAAGGAAAATCCCTTTGGCAAGGCTCTTCTCCCCAGAATGCATCACCTGTTGACAGCAGATACTGATGGTTAGGAGTGGGAGTTGGAAGCAATGAAATCTTTCACATGCACAAGTAGTTTGTGGAGGCAAAAAAACAGATGTTGCTTCACTGAATATTCAAAGCATTTGCCCATTCCATTTAAGAGTTCTACAGAATTTATGAAAGGTTAATTCTGGACACACAGGAAATGTAGAAATTTCAAAGCATAATTCTTGCCCTCAAGGAACTTAAAATTAAGAGGAAACAGATAAGAATGTAACTAAGATAATATAAATATTTTCCACATATTTCTTTACCATTTGACATGAGTAACACATATCTAATAGTTATGCTTTCTGGGTTCATATTGGCAGAGATTGGTTTTATATTGGTTTATTTTAATGTGCAACATGTAGAACAACTTATGCACAAAGCTATTTGGTCTGGTGTTATTTATAATGGAAAAACACTATTAATAACCTCAATTTAGGACAGCATAAATGTAGGCATGGTCAGCTCTATTTCCAGAATAAGGCATGGTGATGGAGAAGGGTTTGGGATGATTCCAGGTGCATCCGGCTAAGGAAAAATGGAAGAGAAAAGAGATGCTTCTACTTTGGGTAACAGGGACTGGGAACAATGCTATTATCTGAGGCATCATAAGACCATCCGGTTCTGGTAACTCTTACTGGTTACAGATTGTGTATAAATGATCCACACATGCACACAGGTGGGAAGGACTCTATTAACCTTTCTGAATGACAAAAGAGTGTGTCTAGTGGTATGTCCATATGTTGTGCTCTACCATAGAAAAACAGAGTTAAAATAACTTACTATTTATTCTAGATGAGTAACATTGGTTAGATCCTTTTATATATCCTGTATTTTAGACTTTCTCAAATGTGTTATTTAATACATTTTTGTTGATTTCAGAGAGGATGTGAGAGGGAGAAAGAGATAGAAATATCTTTGATGAGAGAGAATCATTGATTGGCTTCCTCCTGCATGCTGCAATCTGGGCATGTGCACTGACAGGGAATCAAACCTTGATCTCCTGGTTCACAGGTTGATGGTCAACCACTGAGCAACACCTGCTGAGCTCAAACACTTTATTTAAATTTAACTTAAATGATGTATTTACAAAGGAGAAACTTTGTTAAGTCCGTTCAATTATTTTAAATAACTATGAATATTTATTAGCATTTTGGACTTCTGTGTATATTATTAAAGTATTTATGACCAAAGCAGAGTAATGAAGACATATGTTATTCATCTAAATATAAACTTGCATAATTTGCAGAAAATAATTATTATAACATTATGATTACTCTCATCATCAACATAACACCATAAATAAAAACAGCAAAGGACAGAAGTTCTAGATTTCATACAAAATCATAGAATATCTCTCTCCTAATATGACTTTAATTGGGGATATACAAGATTTTATTATTTTGTTTATAAATATTAGTTGTGTATGACCAGTGAAAGAGATTAGCAAATATCAGAAACTTTCCAAAAACAGAAGTTGGGAGAGAAGAACCAAAATAGGGGTGTAGGCAAATGCATGTACTGACTGCCTCCCACAACCACATCAACATTACAACTAAAATACAGAACAATCATCATCCAGAATTGCCGTAACGCTGGCTTGATAGAAGTCCTACAATTAGAGAAGAAAAGAAGAAAGAGACGGGACGGAGATGTGGAGGCATGGAACAGGCGGGTCTGGGACCCAGGTGGGCTGCTTTTTTAATTAGGAGGAGATCCTCTCTGTGGCAGCTGCCCAGCGGAGCAAGAGGTCCCACCCCACACCAGACTCCCAGCCCTGGGTTCCAGAGCCAGGAAAAGAAGTCCTTATTGGCAGTAAGAACTACTGGTCATAAAAACCAGTATGGATACGGGCTCAGTGACGCAAAAGCTGCTGGAGAATCAGTTGCTCCTCTTAAAAGGCCCGCACCATGAACTTAACTTACAAGTTTCTGATTCCTGAGCTCCAGTACTGGGCGAGGCTCTGGGGGACCCAGACACATAGAAGGAGAAACTGGACTATCTGGCATCTGGGCAGGAACTCAAAGGCAGCTTGCTTTCAGAAGGAGGTGCTCGCAGTGGTCATTGTTCCTGTACTGGGACCTGTCCAGTCACAGAGCTGACTGACAGCCATTTCTGTTTGCTCCACCCTGGTGATTCCCTGAGACCCTGCCTCATCCAATTTACAACCCCATCCAAGCTGTGCTCAGCAGCTTTTGCATAATAATGGCCTTCCCTTGCTTAAGCTATAAACCTGTCAGACAAGCTGCAGCTGGGTCAAGGAGCCCCAAAACTATCAATAAAAGGCCCAAGACTCAGCACCAGTAATAG